AGCGTCCTGATACAATATGGCTGACTCTTGTCCCAGGACGCTCTGGTTCGTGCTGGAAGAACGCTGTTCGAATTCGAGTAAAAATCGAATACCTTGATTTTATTTAGGAGGGAAATAAATTAAAATTCGATACTTTTTTGAATTTGAGCAGGTCGATCGACAAGTGGAGCAAGCCTGTTCTGATCTATCAAAACACTTTCGAGATTCAATGATCGTAGTGATGATGCAAGAAAAATTCATGCTTCTGTCTTGGTAGATGAACTTCACGGAATTCATGTATAGTATTGTTTATCCATCGAGTCAGCTTGACACTCTGATTTTAACTAAAATTCAGAGTGCAACGTAGGCCCAGCCTATACTCCAAATTACAACTCAGTCTGGCGGGACATATAAATAAAATGAATAATCTACTGCCCCGTACGCGGTTTTCGAAGTCTGATGACGCGATTTTTAGGCCCAGTCTAGAATTAAATCAGAATGGTGAATACAAAAACTATAAATAAATAGTTCACAGGAGGAGCTTCGATGGAATCTAGAGAACGTTTTCCGAGCGCGCGATTCTGTAAAAATTCCTCCCCCGTGTCTCATTCTCCTCGTTACCGGAAGTCATCCGCCTTGGGACTGAAGACCAAGTGTTTCCGACTGCCAAAGTTAAACCTGAGCGGGTTTCGACTTGCCGACGACAAGCATTATTTTCTGCAGGAACTTCGTGACGCTTACTGGAAACAAAAATACATGCATATTGGGTCTTTCTCGATGATTCTGTGTTTCTTAGAAGTAGTCAGAATCAGTAGAGTCCTCGATATAGGGATGTTCGATTCCGATTCGATTCTCTGGAAGATCATTTCCCTTAGGTAACACGTCACTGCTGTATACAACAAATACACTAACGGCCAACAGGTCTGATAATTAAAAAAAAATAGTGTTAACGAAAGTAACGTGTTAAAACTGATGGGAACTTTATTTAGTAACTTTTATTTTATCATAACAATAATGAGTTACTGTTCCATCAATCAGGAATTCTAGTCACATACGTCGGTCGTTAGTGTATGTGTTATAAATGGTAGTGACCTGTTATCCAAGGAAATCGATCTTCTGAAGAATCGAATCGGCATCGAAGATCCCTAACTCGTGGCAATCGTGTTGTCGGCACTTGATGTATAGATTCCCATAGTAGTCAATGGTGATAATTAAATAGAAATTTTAAATCATGGTAATCGATAATACAGTGAGAATCATCATGAATCAAGTTCAATTTAGTAGATATTTTCGAGGGTAGATCACACCATGTGGCGACACCACGAACGAGGAAAGAAGACCAGCGTGAAAAATGGTCGGACTTATTATTGTTAGTTGCATAATTATACTCATGGTTGTTAATCACCACCGTTCGTTATCATTTTTTATACCCTGTGCACCGTGTGTAGAAGTTGGTGTGAGGGTGCTTGTTCTGTGGGTGCAGCATGCAAAATTAAAACGTTAAAGATGTCCAGGTTTGAACTCAAGCACCGGATGACACGAATACTATTTATTTACAGGGAAACGTATGGATCATTGAGTAGCTTCTTTGTGACTGGAAATGATTTTAAATATGCCACTTTAGATCCACATGGTCAGCGGAATAATCGTTCAGGTAATCGTAGGTGTGATAATCAGGTGACTCGTGAACGGTTCGACGAGTCAAGGAAAAAACAAAATGCAGAATATAGAACGATTATACGGGTTATCTCGCTAATTACAAACATCTAAGTTATCGCCGTTATTAGTTATTCTTTCGTGTCTGCGATAGTAGAGGGGAATAGAATTAGGGGGACACCCGATATATTGGTTTGGAAATAAAATAAAAAGACTGGAATCAAAGGCGGCAATTTCAATTAGTCCAAATTGATATCATGCGACAGATGATGGAACGAATGATTCGAGAATGAAAAGTGATCTGATCCAAGAATCGATCCATGCACAATAATCGTGAAGTAATCGTCCGCGTTGAAAATCAATGCTAAGCATGCGTGGCATGACACGAGTAATATTATGTTAGAGTGTATTCTGAACCTTAGTCTTTGGTCCGACGACTACCATCAGCTTCTGCAAAGTTTTGGTAACGGCGCCTGCGGGAACAGATCGGTTAAACAGAAACGGAACAAACTCAGGCATCGTTAAATAATCTTCTGCATCCAAATCAATGAATTCTACTCAGAACCAACTAATTAAAATGACTAGGATCACTATAACTCAACTGATAAAATATAACTGAATCAAAAGAACAGTGAACGTTTTAACCTCGGTTCATGGAATCTTTGAACTCACCGACTCCCTTCTGGAAGAACTTCGGCTTGTTCTTCCACGCTACGAACACAAAGTACACCGGAACGGACGAGAATATCATCAGGCAACCGTATCCTAGAACAAAGCATACAAATGTGTCAGACTTTCGGCTCCCTACGGTTGCTCGAGCTTTTAGATACAGTGCAACTTCGATTAGTGCTCGAAACGATCTACAGCGTAAGCACCCGGTGTTCATCTCCACCATTGAAGTGGAGTCTCATCGACGTATCGTGAGGATCAGTCCCTCTTTCTTGTTCACTAGCTATCCTTATACAAAATTTTCCAAAGTTTCTAATTGCTAGGTACTCGAACGCCTATAATTAAAAGTCTAGACCTAGACTTTGAGTGTTTGAATACCTAGAGTATGTAGTGAGAAACTTCGGAAAATTCTGTATGAAGTCGCAAACATTGAATCTAGGAAGAGCTAGTACATGAAATCCCCCAAGACTTTGTTCAGATGAATAGGCAAATTACCTGTTTCTACTGGACTGGCATACATAGGCACGATTGTCACGAACAGGGTGGCAAGTATGTATATGATCGGGAAGAAGAGGTTCACCTTGATGGGCCTGGGCAGATTTGGTTGGGACCACCTCAGCCATGGCAGGCAGAGCACGGAAACACCTATACTCAACTGTGAACAAGTCATACATTCACTGATCTCAAGACCTGATTATGACGATGGAGCACACGGCAGCCATCTTTGTTGATATTTAAGGTTACATGAGTTATAGGAGAAGAAGCATCGTCCAGGAGCCCTAGTAGCTTTAATTGGTCAAATCAATCGCCTAGTTCGATTTTTTTTTCTCCTATAGACTATGTATATTCTATGCATTCACTAATACAAATAAACACGTACCCAAGTGGCGAAGCCGACGTAGTTGATCAGGGCAAAAATGTCGGACGAGCAGAGGTACAACATGGATAGGAGGGCCTGAAATATAAAATGATAGAATAAACGTTTCACTTCAGCTGCCAATTGTTCCCATTTATTTCTATCCTTAATGAACCCATCGTTCAAATACCTTATCCCTTCGCGAGGGGAATTATCTTCGATAATCGATAATAAAATACAGAAGCTCGTTAAATAAATGAAACATCGATCTACCATGCAGAGAACGGCTGGCGTCGGTGTGACCCTCGAGGTTTGAATCATCGTTAATATTTCAGGCATCTGTCCCTCGCAGGCTCCCGCATAGAAGAGTCGAGAGGACGTCAGAAGGATTCCATTTACCGCGCCGAACGTGGAAAGAGCGACGAACACCGGTATCGTCCAGGCGAGCATTCCGAACAGACGGTTCGCGAACGTCTATGGTGCAAACCAAGACATTAGTTTCATCGAACGATGTTACTAACTTACTGAATTAGCATTTTACTTTTTAATCAACTCACCACTGCTACCGCCTCGCTTCCCAATACCTCTACAGGACTAAGCGTCGTATAGAATGCGACGTTCGCGAACACGTAGACGAGAGTAACGAGCACGCAGGAAATTCCTATGGCCCTCGGTAAGTTTCTGGGAAAACAGAACAAACGTTCAGTATTCAGATACTGTGATCGTCGAAATATACACGGTGTCCAGTGCTTCAGGGTTTAAAGTACGTAATTTCGTCGAATAGTCGAAAGATCGTAATTTCGCCGATGTTCGAATATTTTTACGTTCTGTGATCAATCAATGCATATCGTTTTCCGATTAAACGCGGGAAATTAACGCGCCCAAGCGATCGTTAACAGCGATCTTAAATCAAAAGCAACTGTTGTACCCTCTATTGAAAATATTTGACCTTGACAAGTTCAGGACATTGAACAAGATGAGGCCCCACGGTTGACCTCGTGTCGGAGTCAATAGAGCCCGGGCTTTTCCGACCCCCTCGTTTAATTAACAGACACCCAAGACCGACTGTCGCAATCGCTGTTAATCGTTGCATGAGATTTCAGCGGAGCAACCGGGTTACCCGTGTTAATTCATCCCGACGCGGTGCGTTTCTTCTTCGAATGAAAATTTTTCATTGACGCGCGCGCACAGAACTAAACGTCACGTAAATTCCTCTTCGCGATGCCAGAACGCGAATTTGGACCGTTTAATTCGAAATTTCGACAGTTTGCAGGATTTTTTTAACCTTTTTCGTTCTTTGATTTAATAGATTGTCGAACGTTCGAGTCTTCAGAGTTGAAAGCATCCCCCAGAAAAGTTTCCTACTTCAAAGTTCACAGCATTCCTCAAAGTTTTCCCCGGTTTTTTTGATCCAGAAGTGTTGAAACTTTGTCAATTGTAAACTTAATATTACAGATGCTTTCAGAGATTTCATTATTACGAGTGTTGGTGACCGGTTGGAAATGAATTTTATCGAAAAAATTTCTGTTAAATCGTGAATTCACGTACTCTTACGTTCACGCTCGCGTAATCTTGATCTACCACGGATTCTGGTCTAATTGGAATCAAAACACTTCTATGTCATGGAGCAGCTGTTCACGTTAACTTTTATGGTTATTCTCGCAATTTCAGATTCGCCCTGAATTAACATCTGTCCTGATTAACAGGAATCCTCGATGTTTAATAGTTAATTAACGTCTCGATTAGGCCCCGTAGCATTTTCACTGATGTAAATATTTCGAACGTAATTTTAACAGAATGGCTAATTCTTTTAACACTTTGCCCAAGGAATCGATAAGCGACGGTTAATCGACGAACACATTCAAGTGTGCAAAAAATGACTTATCGGTCGCATACTTGACAGGGTCCTTCAGCTCCTCGATGATGAAGTTCAAGTAGTTCCATCCGTTATAAGCGAACAATCCCGAATAAAAGCTGAGTGCTATCGACGTCACCTCGGTGTTCGTGTTCTCGAATGTGAAATGCTGTGTGTGACCTGCAGAACACGTTGAAAATAATCGATCAGATACAAAAATAATCGATTCTTCCTTTTCTTAAAATAAACCCTAAATTCCTGCCCGTAGATCCCAGAAATGCATATCAATTTTCGTATTGATGCTTAGACATAGAAAAATCTTTAAATATATACAGTGAATTCTCGATAACTGCGCGGTCAGATCTCTACATTGAAATAATCGATGACATATTCATTCGACGGTCCTCGAAAGAAAATGGGAACACGTCGGTCTGGTTACGGAGAACTTCGTCGCATCCAATTCATTGGAATCAAAGGAGTTCTCATGGCGACCTCCGCGTTCCGGTGTCAAAAAGGGCCATTTGCAACGGCTGAATAGGGGGCAATTCAAGCGATTCCGTGCACGCACACGAGTCGTACGCGTGTTTAATCCACCTTTTTGATTGGGCAAATTGTCTCGTCCGGCAAATGAAAAGACGCCTAACCGTCTTACGGGTTTGTCAATAGGGTGGCGTGGGTGGTGAAACATTAACCTCTTCCTCATTCCTGCGTGACCGACCTGAACCCGACGGAGATACAGCGAGACGCGAGAAAGACTACGAATGAAAACCTGCATCTATAAATCACTTCGGAATCCCGAAATCAGCTAGAATTCGCGTCAAATATTCATAATAGGAATTCATAATAATTATTCCTATCGATGAGTACCAGCAAATTTTAATTCGGTATATTTTCCCGCCATAGGGCTCCGTAGGGGTAATATCGATCGAGGCACGAAACTTCACGGTGATGCACGCGCCCTGGCATCCAAGTCATCCGGACCATTAACTTCTTTCGAGCGTATAGCAGGCAATTCGTTCCGCCTGTTCTTGCCTCGAGTCCCAAGAATGACAAGACGAAAACCAACCTGACAATCATCCAGAATATTTCGACGTTGAGGGACAACAGAGGGCCATTTTTGTCTTTACGGAGAAAGTCGACGTGACGAAAGAGTGAAGAAAAAGGAAGATTGGGCAACGTATCGAAGCAAGAAAACTAGAGAATCGAGGATACAATTTTCGTTTTCGTTTCTTCCTTTGGGAATTTTTTGGAACAGAGGCGATTTTTAAGCGAATGTCCGAATGTCATTTAACTCACCGGTGAAGAGCTGATAGGCTCCCGCAAAGATAATGATGAACAGTGCGAGCAACTTCGCGTATGTGAAGATGTCCTGCACTCTCGTCGCCCATTTCACGTCCCAACAGTTGATGAACGCCAGGATACCTGAAACATCGTTAGTGTATCACGTTTACGCGGTTCTAACGATTTTTTAAAAAACTGGATCTGAAAATATTGGTTGCCAAAAAACAACTGGGAGCACACTTACAATTACGAGGCTATTACTTAATGTATAATGAATAAATAAATTTTTCATTATATTTTCATGCTACCCAAAAGGTCGGTACAATTTTTAACATTTTATTATTTTTAAGTCGAAAATACCGATATTGAACCAACCTATTTTTTATTTTCTTTACTTCTTTTCAACCCCCAGTTAAAGCTAACGTTGGATTGTATATGCTATGGGGCAATATAGTCAACTATAGTCAACTATAACAACAATGTTCGCATTGACGTGTGTACCCCCGTCGTCCTAATCAATCTATGCGCGTGTTAATTAGCTCCGTTCGAAATGAACGAAGATATCCTGTCAATGGCGAGATCATGGCTCGTAAGTGACCGATAAAACGGCGAAGTGTTGCCTGTCGGTTGCACGCAGCAACGGTGCACGACGCCCACGCAACTGCAACTTTTCTGCACCAAGTGATATGAAAAGGTTAGCGAGTGTTAATGAGCTCCGGGAGGTGGCGAAAAGTTTGAATGTTTGTGCGTGTAATTTCCTTCGAATAAAACTTTTAATGTCAATTTTATGGAGTTGATCACTTTGGCAAATGAAGGGCTCAAACAGAATCGAAATTTTGACTGATTCTGTCTTCGCTGTGATTCGTCCGATTGCATGGTGTCCTGCATCCATGCAATCCATGATTTATCACTGTTTATTAATTAACTACTTTTTATCCAGGTAATAAATCGACCAATAACTAGCCTCTATGCAAGATTCGAACCCCCCGCAGCTACGTTGATCGCTCGCAGAAGCACTGAAATTCATTAAGCACCGATCGAATGTGTATTCGTTCCCTTTCGAAACGTGTGATAGATGGATATCATTAGCGTTCGAGACTTTATTTCACGAAACCGGTTCGTGGAACGGTAGTTCACCGTTTGAGACTGACTGGCACCAGGCCAAGCAAGCCACGACAACGGTCAGGGGATGGAAAAGACCGTGGACGGACGGCTATCGATCTGGCGAACGGGAAGGGTGGTTCTCTGCGATCTAGGCCACGCAGAAAACCGATCGTGAAAGATCAATATGAATACGATACAATATGATACTAGGCACAGCAAATGCAAACGAAATTTATAGACTTTGGTCTTTTTTATAAAACTAGATTGTGGAAGTTTATGGAAGTTATGGATATCGACTTGGAACATTAAAGATGATAAACTTTTACACGAGCTTTTCCTTTGCCTTTTGACAAGTATTCTTCCTGTCTGTATGTAGCGTGTATGAAGAAGTAACGACCATAATATTATAATTATAAATATTTCGGACGACAAAAACAGGAAACAGGCGTCCCGTGAAAGTATAAAAAAGAAAAGCTCGCGGAAATGTTTATCCATCGGGGGACGTTCGTGAAAAAGATTCCACCTTACGAGCGCATGAATCGCGGTCGGTCGGTCCAGCGCGCGCTCGTCCTTGGCAGATTCGTTGTTCGATGCAAAAGAAAAAGTAAGAAATGCTCGACTGACGCAACATCTTGAGGAATATCGCGAGATTCTTTCCGCCATTCCCCCCACATCTTCCTCCTTCTTTCGGCTCTCCCCGTTCCTCCACCATAACCACCACCTCCACCTCCACCTCGAACCGATTCGAGCGCGTCTCGCGCGTCGTCTGCTTGTTCCTCTCCTCGCCGCGTCGTCTTCGACGATCCTTGCCACCCCGCTCGTTCCGCCATGTCTCGTGCCCCCCTCGGCGAATTATGCTGTTGTGCCCGGCAGTTGACACGTTATTAGAAGATTACGTTTAATCGTAATTGAACGTGATTGCCGTACTCGCGGTCTCTGCCCGTCACTCGCTCGAGATCCAGGGTCTCTTCTTTTTGCCAACGCGACGTCGAACCGGGTCACCCGACTGGTCATCAGGGCCCAACACAGTGCGTTTACCGCTGTCTGCTGTTCAGGCGATCGCGAGTGTGGTCGATGCCTCGTTATTAGATCGTTGTTAAATCGTCGACGCCGAACTGGCGGGAAATGCGTCGCAATACGAGCACACGTCTTTTCGTTCGACGATCCGTTTGTCGACGACGATTGCAAGAGGCCATCGAGGAGATTGTTGTGCGGCCGAACGATGGAAACTGCTGGTACGAAACTGTTCCAAGTCCCACGTTTAGAGCTATAGGACTCTGGAACTTTGGGACTCTAGGACTTTTGAGCTCTTGAAAGCCAGCACTTTTGGACTCTAGGATTTTTGGGCCCTGGGACTTTAGGACCCTTGGACCTTGGGGTTCTAGGACTCGGGAACCCTGAGACTCTAAGATTCTTGAACTCGAGAATTCTAGGACTTTGGGATTCTTGAACTCTAGGACGACGCTAGTTAACCGTCGGAAGACAAGCAGGAACGGCGAAAACCGGATTCTTTGCTCACAACATGGACGAGAATCACGTTTCGAAGAAGATACAGCTTTTACCCCCTCAAGGTTCACTTTCAAGGTCCGCTTAACGAGCATCGATTCCCATAAGAAACGATATTATTTACCGAGATTCTTACGATATCCATAATGGGCGTGGAGGCGAATAATTGTATCGGTAATAGCACACTCCGTGGAAAGATTGATTTCCCCTTGGAATGAATCATTGATCTCCATCACTGAGAGCTCGTTCTAGGAACTATGTAATTTTCTTTTGTATCACTGAACACAGGTAACTGGAGTATAATAGTAGTTTTCAGAGTGTACGCTGCTTTGTGGCTATTTTTCCCTTATTGTTGAGATTGCAACCTTTTTTCTGCTGTCTCACGGATTGATGTAAGTAAAAGGGAACGGTACAAAGGGTACAGGAATAGAAGAACCGTGAGGGAGGTGATTCTACGCTAGAAAGTGGATCAGGATGCGAAATTCTTCTTATTTCAGAACTCCTTTTTAGACGAAATCGACAGAAGAGAATATTCTTGCTACTCAACGATTTAGAACGCGAAATTATCAACAAAATCTGAATAAAAAATAAGATCGAGTTAAGATACATTAGGGAAATAAAGCTCAACGAGAATAAGTCTAAAGTTTTATTACCCAGGTCAAGATAAGTAGGACACCATAGTCGCTCTAGCAATCAGGTAGCTAAGAAAATCCTGGAATCTAATAATAGACGGACCTCTGTGACCTAATAGTTCTAGTAGCGTGGGTTCGAATGTAGGAATCTCTCAAGAATTTAATGACGATCTCAAAGAACAAGAGCAAATACTTAAAAGGACTTCCTTGAGTTCTGCACTGGTCCAGGAACCTATTCACGTCGCAGCTCGAATGATCAAGGACGAGCTTTCGATTGTTTCCACCAGGCGGAAGCTTGGTCCGTGATTCATCGGATATTAAACGGAATGCTTTGAGAAGAAACGCTTCCTTTCGAAACGGAACGCTTTCTTGCTGAAGTATCGTCTTGGTGAAGTATTATTTGCGATTTCTCGTAAGAGTTTGCGTCAACTTGGCGACAAAATTTTTGTTGAATTTATCCTCCTTGCAAATCGTTGATCAATCTTGTTTTTTTTTTTTTCTAAGAAATTCAAATATAAACATTTCGGTAACACTATAGTAAGTGCGTTGTATAATGCCCAATTGTTTCAACTGGATGATTTCACAACATCCATACTGTTTACGAGGTATGAACCTGTGAGACGATTATTTATACGGATCGCTGGAACATCCTATGTCAGACGAGAAGCTTGGAGAACAGATACGTCGTTCGAAAACAGGTCGAAGAATTTCGTAACGATAAAGATGGAAATTTGAAGTATTGACATAATATGAATCATCGTATCCTCCCAGTTCCACATATAGAACACGCTACAATCTTCCCAAACAACACGATAAATGAACAGATGTCCCCCGTGAAATGCAACAGCCGGTTCCTGTTAAGACAGCCGATTAACATTGCGTGAATTACCATACCACGATTCATCCACCGGAACAAATGTAAGAAGATTGCCGTCGGAATAAGATTATGTGATTATCGATGATGAAATAATTAGGGACAACTGTACGTACAATTGATCCGATTTGTTTCACTGACACTGGAATCGTTTCAAACCGTTCAGATCTACCCTAATCAATTATTTTAATAGTACATAGTTGGAATTGTAGATCTGGACAGTTTGAATCACTAATCTAAAAATCATTAATCTCAGAATCATTAATCTAGGAATCACATCCACAGTAGGGATATCTACTATCAGAAGCCCATAGAATGCTTAATAATCAAGACTGAACCTTCATATTCGTGAGCACAATGCAACGTCCTTGATTTTTATATTCGAAACGGAATGCGAGCAACACGACCGCATCGTTGCACAATATTCCTGCAACTTTTTACGAACACACTCCGCGTGCTCGAACCGTTCCACAGAGGCGCGTGAAAAACGCGGTGTATAGGTAGATACATGATCAGTCTCGAGGATTGTATTATACCGGTCACGCTCGCCATTGGTACGGAGAAAGCGAAATGTTGCGAAGAGGCACGTTCTGGGAAGAAAAAGCGTGGTCGTGTTCAGAGGGAACAAAATGCGGATAATTGGCCCGGTATATGGATAATTGTACGCGTTTCGTTGCTCCAGAACGTACATGAAGAGTACTATACCGATATCAGAAAGGCATGTTTTATCCCATAGCGTTCTAGATTCTGTGAAGCAGCGATGAGCAACTCGTCGATTACATTTACTTGTAGACTACGATCAAGAATTCCATCCCTACAGATTACCAATTTGTAAATTAATAAACTGGGTTCGTTAATTTTTTTTTCAATTAGTAAATTAGGACTTTTTATGGTTGCAGCGACCGACATAGGTTTTTGATCTTTTCTTTTTGGCTCACTTGGGTTGTGTAATTTTAACCCACTTGTGTGTTCAATTTTAGCCTCTTGAATTTTCAGTTTTAGGCCCCTTGCGGGAAAAGGTTACACATCTTTACGAAGTGATTTACACAAAACGAAGTCGAATAAAATCATATCTATCTTATTAAGCATTCTATTTATTGAACATTTTTTCCGACACACCGAGTCGCAAGCAATCTTATACGCAATAAATGCATAAAATTCGCAGTCTACTCATCACTGCTGTAAAATGACACCGCGTGGTCTCGAACGTCGAGGCGGAAAGACGACTGGTGACCACGGGAATACGATATTCTGCGGTGTTTCCTCGCTTGGACAGGATTCTCGAAAAAAATCACGGGTCTTCTGTGTTGCCCTATGGCCGTTCTGCCTAGCCTATACTGGGTGTACGACATGGTTAGAGGTATACACTTGGTTCACCGTCAAGAAAACCTTTTTTGCATTCTTCACATTTAGAAATTTTCTATTGCTTGTGTTATAGTTCCTAACGTAAAGGAAACGAGTTATTTTGCTAAACCTGGTAGACTTCTTAACGAAGTGAGTCTAATATGGATGAGAAAATATTATGAGCAGTAGGGTATAGCAAACTTGCAAAAATATACTTGATTAAAAAATTACATTGAAATCGTAAAGTTACACTTGGGGCTATACAAGATACAGCGGAATCGTAAAAACTCACAACAGCACATAGCACTCTATCCTATTAACACCGATCATCAAAGGGAAATTAACTTTGTTCAAACACTTTCAAAAGCCCTGGAGGACCAGCACCAAAATCATTCTCTTCCTAATTTCTCTGAGGAGGAGTCGTTTCCAAACGTCAAAAACACGTTTCTGGTCGTCTAATAAAATCTGTCTTGTCCACCGATTATACAACTCCAGCTACTGTTATTTTTACACTGACTCCAATTTGGAAAGACCGAGCGTTGGGTGTTCCCTTCGGATGGAATGTTCACGGAATTCTTTCAGTCCTCGATACCCACGTAACCATTTACTGACTTTTTTCTTGCTTGCGATCTTGCTCACGACTGTTCGCAGAACAATCAATCGTTCGAAGAACGCAATTTACGAGCTCTGAATAGCGAATTTTTCTCGTTTCAGTTCGCGTTAATGTTCCAAATCGCGATTGTCGCATGACGGGGGTGTCGTTGTATTAATTTCCGAGTTCGAAATGAATCGAGATTAGGATCGAAGGATAGGATAATTAAATGGATCTAGGTTGCACCTGCTGGAGATTACGAACTATTGTCGTCGGATATTAATCGAAATCGTGTAATATGTTTATCGGACAGAATCTAACATGCAATTACAATCTATTCATGATCATAAAATCAGTCTATTAGATCCGTGCCAGCTAAATATTGCTTTCGATCGTAAATACCTTTCGCTATATACCTACACATTAATTACGCAGAATTTTATACAGAAAATTATGAAATCACACTTTGATAGCAATCATTAGAAAAATATTCAATTTCAATCGCAATCAATAAGTTACATACATAGGTAGGACATATGTAATGCATATAGATTGACATTAATTCCAAAGTGTCTCGAATTCACGATTTAAGAAAATGAGAATGGAAGTTTTTTATAAATTAAATTGCTATTGTAGATCTAGAAAAATTCATGAAATTTTTAGGATTGAAATAAAAAAACAATACCCTCAGGATCCTCATGAGATCTCGTGGTATTACACGCTGCGTTTCCCGTAGGGTGGACGCTTCAATTGCCGAGAAAACAGGAAAGGCAAGAGGCTCGAAGGCCGGATTTATTGAGGGAATTACAAACCGTCCTCGTAACGGGACACGTAGTATCAACGTTGAAAGCTCCCCGAAGGACACCAGCTTGCGTAGGATTCGTGACAATGGAACGGTGGAGTCGGTTTTTCACTCAGGAGAAAATACGAGAGAAATGGGCAAGGACGGTGGGCGATTCCACGGACTATTACCGGTATTGTTCATCTTTTTGTCCCAGACGAGCTCAAGTAGAACGAAAGAAGTTTCTGCTGGTTTAACAAATTGCCCTCCCTGAGTGGACTGAGATCTCAAGGACAATATTATAATAGTCTTTTCTTCTAAGATGTGCTCTGGAGAAAGAACAAATCATCTCGGAAGTTTAAACATGAAGAAAATTGAAACACCATTTTACGCGGTTGGTAACGTAGATCGCTGCTAAGAAATCCGCCATATTGGTGTGCAACAACCTTGAGAGAAATCATTCTGTAAAAATATATTCTATCCAATAAAACATTATTTAATTTTTAGTCGAAATATTGTCAAACGCTGTGATCGGTCAGACATTTTGTGTACGAGCTGCCTAATGGTCCTTCTTCTGCAACGTTTCAAAAGTTCCATCGATGTTAACCGGAACCAGTAAATAATTAATGGAAAGTTTCGGGGTGTTATTTGCAGTTATTGTATACAATCTCCCAAAGACGAATTAACTGGCAATAAAATCACGAATTAACTCGAGTCAATCAGTCGGAGAAGACGGACGGGATTGAATACGGGGCCCAGGATGAAAGACGAAGGACTGGACCGAACGATAAAGCGCAGAGAAAGTAATTCGATTAGCTGACAAACTGACCGTGAATTATATCAGAGGACGTTCTTTCAATTATGAAAGAGGACCCGTCTTCTTGGAAGAGAATGGAAATCCGTGGGACAATCGGAACGATTTCTCGGGAGGAAGGGAGGAGGAGAGCCGTTTGATGAAACGACAGAGGCATTGACTGACAGAAATAGTGCTTAATCGACTTAATTTTCGTGAGAATAAACGAAACTTGTATCTCGTATCTTTTTATGCTAGCTACGAAGGACCAATCATTTCACTGATTAAACATCTTCTTATTAATAATAATTATTTTTTTTTCCTATATCTATCGTCGTTCAGGTACACATCACAGACATAAAATACTTAGTACAGTTAGTAATAAATTATTAGTAAATAAAAAAAAAAGAACGCGAAAACTCCACTCACATATGCAGCAGGCAGCGAGTATCCTTGTCGCGTCGTCCGGCGGCGTGCAGTCAGGGAACACCGGCTTCAGCACGTACACGCTGAAAGTCAAGGCCACGATCGCCTGGCTGCAAGGTCGCACTATCATGCACTCGACCCAGAGTCTGATGAACGCCATGAAAGGTCCGAAGGTCTCCATGATATACGCGTAATCGGCGCCAGACTTTCTGATCATGCAGCCGAGCTCCGCGTAACAGTACGCACCCACCTGTTTTCCAATCCAAGAGATCATCGATAACACGCTCCGTAACACTTCGTAACACACGCTTGTTTCACGCCCGATTTCACGACGCACGATAACAAACCGACGACGCAGACGTTATCGCGGTCACGAATGATGGATAGACAAACGTTTAAAATGAAATTAATATTAGAACCGAACCTCTGACCCCGGCTATCACCGAACGGCTGGCTTTATCTTAGAGGAAATGGTAGAAACATGCGGGTTACGGTTGGTGGAACAGGCGTATTACGTGGTCGTGAAATCGACAAAGGAGATAAAGTGTCCATCCTTTGAGTATTGTGTGAAATGGTGCTACCTCGATGTTTTCGATCAGTTTTTAAATGGATATTATGTAGAAGTTTAAGACGAAAGATAAGCAAGGCTCGATATTGGGATGCTTCAGCTAGCAAGTGGGATGCTTAGCTTTAACCATCACACATTCAGGTGTATATCCACTCTCAAAGTCCCCAGTCCAAGTAGCCACACACCTCTACGTAGGAATGTTGAAGAAATTAATACCGATAGGAGAATGATTAGAAGATTTATTTTGGATTGGGAACCAGTCAATTTCGTTGAAAGTCCCGAAGAGTAAAGTGGTCGAGCCTTCTTTATCTCCCTGGGTGAACGAACGGAAGAAACGAAACCACAATCGATGGAGAAAAGAAAGGACCTACCGTGGAGAAAATGCCGGATGCTGTCCACACCAGAAGGCTGGCGTTCACACTTCCCGTATACTTGAGGACCCCGGTGGGGCTAACGAATATGCCAGAACCAATAATGGAGCCGACGATCACCGTGATACCGTTCATCAGGGACATCTTCGCCTCGAGTTTGATCTCGTCGTTCGCTTTGTCGGCGGTCGGGACCGGGTCGTACGGCCCCTTCTCGCCATCCTTGATGCTTCCTGACTTCGACATCCTCTCTGAAACGGGACCATAAGAGAAATTTTCGTTAATTCACAACTAGTAGCTAGCGTCGTGCAGCGTGTTAAGTTGATTGTGAAAATTTGATTTAACACTGATCCTTTCGGAAAAGTTAATTTTGTTAAAATTCCATCGAAAACACTTTTTATTGTTCACTGTTTTGATACATGTATCCAATCCTTTCAGAAAGACTTTACACTCTGTTGCGATTACAGTCGTCTATTTCGGGCAATTTCTCAGCCAATCATGTGATTATTCTCGAACGAATTATTCATTCGAAGCTTCACACAGCATCCACTTTTTCTTCCATCGACTCATGGGAACTGAGTTCTTCGAAAATACTATCTGTTGATCAGCATCCTGCATAATACAACCGTATACAACGGAATAGTAAATCACAGGAATCGAATGAACCGTAACTTTTTATTCCCTGTTCATTAGATAAAAGGGCAATCCTTGGAGAACACCCTGGAAAGCTTTCTCTTATCATTGTTCCACTTTTCTGGACAAGATCGAGGAATCTTCCCGTAGAAGTTCTACCCCTGAATAATGCATCCTGCAACCTACGAAGGGTGGAACGATTCTAAGAGCTCGCTTAATCAAGAAGCTTTTATTTCGTAATGGAGCAAAACCATTCATCTTCCACGCTTTCGTGTCGGAGAAATGAAACGAACAATAGTGAGACTCAGGCTGGAAAAATGAACAAAAGAAACTGTTCGACTACAGATACGCGAAACAGAATAACCAAGGAACAAGAAGATTAAAAGGTTGATAGAATACTTAATTAAAAAATCTAATTTTCATGTGCCAAAATATTTATTAATATTGGCGCGTTTACTCTAGGACTGAACTGATTTCTTAAGACAAATTTTATAGTATTTTCAATTCAACCAACCATCCCACACGAATCTCCACTCTAATTTTTCACAGACTCAACTATACACTCAAGAATACACAGTTGCGGAAACGTCCTACCACCATCAATTCTCAAAAGGAGCAAAGTTGCCCCACTGATACACGAAGAAACGTTCGCGAATATTACCGCGCGATAACAAGGCTTTCATCGCTCGAGCTATTCGAATTGATAGCGGCCACTTCCGGGGTGGTAAATCATGTTTACCATAAGGGGAACGATAAATTCGAGTTTTCGTCAGAAATGCACGGAGTTTCATCAGTTTACGTTCGCGTTCCTCACGGTAAAATTATGAACCGACGATGACGAATGTTATCGTCGAGGGAAACAGAAAAATACGCGAAGTTTAGCTTCGTCGCAGCAATATCGCACGGGGGATGATTCATTATCGTCAACAGACGACAGAAACGCAATTTACGTTATACTAGCCACAGATATAAAAAAAAAATGTAACGAAAATCATACAACGTAAATGGAACAATTAAATAACACTATAACATGATTGTAATTGTTTGTCACTAATAATATGCCTTTATTCTAAAATTCTAAGGACTGTGAGAAGAGTTTCTATACCAGACTATTAGCCTCTTATGTTGCTACACTTTGTAAAAAAAACTTTCACCTTGCATTTAAACAATTAATACTTATCTCACAATTTCATATTTCATCATTTTTAGTAGGAACGAGTAAACACGGTTGTGGGATTTTAAAGTTTCTGGAGAAGCGATATTTTCCAAAAAAAAAAAACACTTTTTGAACAATTTTATCGTGATATATCACTCGTGACTCGATCTCAAGAAATCACAATCGGATCGTTCGTCCAACGTACCCATCGATCAACGATCCACGATCCCCTACACGATCATCGATATACCGACTTTCGTATCAGCGAAACTACGTGTGTCGATCTCCGTGACTTTCATGGAACCCCCAATCGTCTGTTTACCACGTCGTCGTCGTCGTTCAGGGGAGCTCCCTTTTTTTTCCGCGCAACTGGAATTATTAATCGACCAATCACGGCCCCGAGCGTCGGACACACACCTTTCTATCACCTGGCGAACTTGCAACGATGGTGACAAACCAGTTCTTAATCGACGGGGCCGCCGCTGTCTCTGTAATCGCGTAACTGACCGTTTATTTCGCTAGATTCCGTGAATTCCCTAATTGCTCGACGCCGCCTGGGCCGGTTCACCAGCTGTCCACGGCGAACGACACCGAGTCACGGTCATTTGGACACGAACCGACGACTCGATTCCCGACCTTCCCTTTTCAATGTTCACGCGGAAATTTAGGGAACCGAAACACCGTGGTCCACTCCACTGGTTTGGCCAGAAAACAGACCCAGTAGCTGAACCGTTACTTATGACAGGGGCTCCATGATTTTCTGAACATTTTTTTTTTTTTTTATCATTTTTGTCACCATTTTTCTCACCATTCCTCGAAATATTTTTTATAATTTATAACCACTCTTAACAATTTGATAACCCACTTTTTTTTGCTCAATTTTCCGACACCATTCTGTTGACCTATTTATGACAGTTTTACTGACCACTTGTTGACCGTTTCTCTAACCATTCTTTCCACCATTCAATCTGGCCATTCCTCTGAGAACAGAAGTTAGGCAGCAGTTCAACGACCCCTTGTGTTCATGATTTTCCACAATCCCCCTTGTATGTAACATTCTAATGCTGTTTCCGTCACAGGAATTTGTCAGAGTCCAACACTCCTCCAAATTAGATTAGGTATTTCTTCTACCACTCTCTCTTCCTTCTGCTTTAATTCGATCCCCACTGACAAACACACACTACCGCTCAAAACTTCGCGACCACAGATCATACTCATAATAATTAAAATAATTTTCTTTTCTACAGTCGTGCAGCCTAATCGATTATAAATAAACCAATCTACTGTCTTTCACCTTTACTTTTTGCCGATAGTACAAAAAACCTATGCGCATAAATTAGATTACCATTAACGCCTACATATTTAAACGGAACAGAACATAGAAGTGTGACGGACTAAATCTAATACGAATGAGCAGATACTGATAATTGTCGTTTTCCTGTTCAATTCTTCGGTAAAATTCGTCAACTTTCGCCCAAACTCGGTAGATACGAGGCGTTCTCCAGGGATCGACTTTAACCCTTGCGAACGTGCGATTGCATACTCTACATAAACACGCAGTAATCAACGGCGTCGTTTTCACGGGCGCCGTCGTAAATATTTCACTGTCGATCTCTGGCGGTCAGCTGACGGTCAGCGAAAAGGCGTCAATCACTGTGCGGCCGCGGCAGTGAACGTTCCTCGATGTATCGGTGTAATCGATAGACTGTGGATTTTTATGTTTTTATAACCGTATTGAATCGACTTAGGAGCTCGACACGATACAGTAACACATTTCATCGCGTACAGTGAGATTTTTTCATTTTATCTGGGAGCCCGATACAGAGCAAGGTAAAAGAATCTGTGAATATCGATGTGTGTCACATGAATAGTCTAGTGATCAACAAGTGTTTTCTGACTGAAACAAAAGCAAAGAACCGTGTGTGAAGAAATAATGATGACATTTTCCTCCTACGATAAGAGACACGAGAGTATTCGTCAGGATGAAAGTAACTGCCGCAAGTGTATCGTTTAGTATATAATTTACGTGACCCTAACGGACCAAACGATACAAAAAATAAACCAACACTCGTTCGACCCATTACGAAATTGTGTAGATTTTTCGGTCATTGAATATACATTCTGCACACACAAACCGAATGGATTGTGGTCGAAATTAATCGCGAAGAAGTTCACGCGGTCTGTGTACGATAACAGTTTAATATCGATTTAGTGGACGTTAATCACGAGACCGATAACGCCGACAAGCGATACTAAAAATAGTTTGGTTATATTTATATGTAAATTGATTGTTCCCTTTTTTTTAGTAAATTTTAACGACAGGAAGAATCTATTTTCTGCCAATCGTATCCCAATACTGACGTTTATGTTCAATGGAATTGTTGACAGTAATGCTCAACGTTTAATCATCGACTTTAATTATTACATATTTTTACTTTGTAGTCCATTTGTTTGTATGTTTAGAAGAAACATAACCAACCACATACTACTTGACCTTCTTCCTGATATCATCTGTATCCTACAATCTAAAAAAGAAATCGAATCCAATCATCTTCGTCTACTTTCTTCTTCACTCCCGAATTATCTACAATTTTCATGAAATCTTCCACCTCAACCTAACATTTATTCGATAAAAAAAATTACTTAAATTTATTACTTGTACATTCAAGAGACAAATAATCACCACAAAACTTTCACACGGACCAATAAACGAACCTCTACTCAATGAATGATGTCTATAAATCCAATATCGAGAACATCGACAATACGGTTGCTACCGTTACAGACAAATCGAAGAATAATGTGACCGTGCACCTTCGGAATAAACGAATAATTCCGTGTCCCGGAAGACCTGAACGAAACAATAAAGAAAAGCGAGATCGACGTGGATAAGCAACTGATCCACCGTACGAATCTGGATCGTCGTCGTTTACCAATTACCTGTGATCGTATCAGGAATATATCACATATCACATACCGAATGTCCCGTACGTGACCCGCATCCTTGATCCCCAGATTTCTTCCAACGATCGACGACGGGAATATCCCCCGTTTTGTTATTGCACACGAACGATCGAGCCGTCGCGGCGTTCAGCTACTATCCGCCTCCACCTCCGCCTGAGGCACGGGAAGAACGACGCACGCCTTTGTGTGGAATCCAACGAAACGTCAGGAAAGGATCATCGTAAACGACGGGTGTGTAATACGCGTTGCAAGAACAGACCGAGATTAACGCGTTGCCCCTGCAATACTACATACGAATACAACGAACGCGATCCGACCGAGACATCGTTGGAACGAGATAGCTTCGAACGATCGAGGCTTCCTTCGATCTTTATTAACGTACGATTTATGCGGGGGGGATCGCGTCAAGTTACGCTACGATCGACGTCTACACTGACGTCAAAACGCGTCACCGATACTCTTGATAGGTTTGTATGAGCGATTACTAAAGTTACTCGT